ACTGTGAAGGAGCTCAGGATACTGTAACAGTTATACTGTAAAGGAGCTCGGGATACTGTAACAGTTATACTGTAAAGGAGCTCGGGATACTGTAACAGTTACACTGTGAAGGAGCTCAGGATACTGTAACAGTTATACTGTGAAGGAGCTCAGGATACTGTAACACTTACACTGTTAAGGAGCTTGGGATACTGAAACACTTACACTGTGAAGGAGCTCGGGACACTGAAACACTTACACTGTTAAGGAGCCCGGGATACTGAAACACTTACACTGTTAAGGAGCTCGGGACACTGAAACACTTACACTGTGAAGGAGCTCGGGATACTAAGATCAGCCTCCATGTCTACCTCCTGTAGTACTCGGTGAATGTCCCATAGTCTGACATAGTTATCCAGACCACCTTTAACACAAGAAAGTATCATTAGTATACCTGCCTCACCATCAGGATTGTTTCTGTAGATATTTGGGGTAATCAATGCAAATACATAGTAAAATAATTTTTTAGGAAGATTCTTTTTAATTTCAATTCTACTTTTCAGCAAATTTTATTACATGTCTTTATGTTTTATATTCTCAATGATATCTTTCTATGTTTAAAAATTTTCAATATCTGTCTTTACATTTCACTGACAAGCAATGAAAGAGCTTCTCTGTTGGGAATCCAAACACTCCCCAAGTTTGAAAGCTACGACAGGTAAATCACAGACGGAAAATATCAATTCAACAACAAGAATAGCACGCCTCCTGTTGCTGGTTTTTACCTGACGCCAAAGATGCACCCTCACGACTAAAAGCCAGACAGTACACTGTGTCCGTGTGTCCCTTCATGTTGGCCAATAGACTTCCACTGGAAATGTCCCACAGAAGTACGCAGCGATCCACACCTGTACACAGACCAAAATTTATGAAACAACAAGCAAAGTAGTTAACTTTCGTAGCATTCATTCATACAACAATGTTTGGCAACATAAGGGTACTCACAGATACTGCACATAATTACCTAACCTAGAATTTTGAAGTCTCGACGAAGTGACGTAGGCCCGGCCGTAAACTTTCATGCATTATTAATAGTGTCCATATATGGACAGTCTATATCCTATAGGGCTGTATGAACTGTGTGGTCTATATACTATAGGGCTGTATGAACTGTGTGGTCTATATACTATAGGGCTGTATGAACTGTGTGGTCTATATACTATAGGGCTGTAAGGACTGTGTGAAAGTGGTTGTGGCGTATGTCGTAATTCCGGTGGAGCCCACAGCGGAACAGAGCTGTGCCGAAGGTCGATTCTAGTTCATGTTGAGTGAACGGGTTTACGGGGTGCCAGGAAGCAGCTGGGCTGTGGAACGAACCCTACGTATACGTGCGACAGCTACCCCTGCGAATGGGGACAGGAGCTGAGTTACACCGAAGTGATAAGGCCCTATTGCTATGTTCAGTGTTTGAGACACCAAATTTAAAGTGTGAAGGTGGCTTGAATAGGGGAGGATTGAGGGTACGTCTGTACAGCTCGCTGATACTTGTAAAACCGAAAAGCAGCAGATCCTCATGGGCTGTGTGTAGAGGATGTTACCTGGAATACGGACTTCTCATCATTTACACTTCACCTGAAAGCATCAAAAACTGATCCATTCAAACAGGGAATTAATATCAAAGTGTTCAGAAACAATAACAATGCTTGCCCTGTGCAGACAATGAAAGCTCTCTTTGACTGGCGCCTCAGTCATGGAGGGAAACAACGAAGTCCTTTATTTTTAAATGATAGAGGCCAGTGTATTAGTCTGTGTTTCTTCATTGGATATTTGGAAAAACTTATTAGCCAATTAGAACTGAACGAAACAAATTATAATGGTCATTCATTCAGGATTGAATCCGCAACCACAGCAGCCAGTAAACAAGTTCCCGACCATCTTATTAAAGCACTTGGTCACTGGAGCTCCGACTGCTATTTCTTGGGTTATCGTTCTCGAGTTTCTGGTCCGCCATATTGGATTACCTCCCTTCAAATAGTTTTATTTGGAGTCGTCGGTCATATATGATAAGATTGAAGATTAAAAAACAACAAAGAATGAAATTCTTTGGCGACACAATTTTTACCTTCTCTTAAATGATTAAAATCGGTAATCTGTGGTCATGACTGCTGATTTGGCGACAAACACTAGCTGGGCACTGGTAACATTTTATCAACACTTCTCAACACCACAGTTAATACAAATTACAATGCAGTAGTTAGCTTACACTCTATCAGTGATTACCGATTAACAATAGCTCTACTGCAAATTAATTGAAATTATTTGCAGTTGCAATCGAGGGACCGTGTCGTTTTCACTCCTCAACATGTGCCGTGGCGTGAAGCCCCACTGCACTGTTAGAACTACAGACTGATTTGACCGTAAAGAGATTTAAAAAATTGTTTATACTAGAGGCGTGGACATTCAATACATCCCCTTCAAATCTACTCAAAGGGAAAAAAAATAAAAGCAGATTACACTATTTTTATGATGCTTCATTTTAAAATATTGAAATAATTCACGAGGTTATTGATCACATGTTTATGTAGTGTTCGACATAAAACATAATTCATATAATTGAAACACTACATTTTCTTAATTATGGGAAAACTGCTGAGATGTCGAAGCATAAGTTGATCGACAATTCTCTGGCATCGGAATTAGCTACACTTTCTTTGTTTGGTTTCTGAAGGATTCGTCCATCATCCACTCGTTCCAAGCGGTACGGAGCGAGACCTTCATGGGCTTGTTGACTCCAATAAATCAATCGTTAATTAATTGGCGTTATAAACACCAAGCTACCTTTGATGCTACTTTTTTCATGATTTTTTTTTTTCTTCATTTTTTTCTTCTTTCAAATCTGACCCCAAAAACGTACCTGCACACTATACCCGAGTGCGCACTATACCCGCAAATTTACGGTACTCACGGTAAGATTTAGCTACCATCCTGATGTTCTCATTTTGTGCATTATATTTGCCTTGGAAAGTGAATGTTTGAGGTTTTTTTTATCGTACAACTTTGATTTGAGATACTATTTAATACTTGTGTAGCAGGATAAGAAAAATGCAAAGCCAGACTGGGATTTGAACCCGGTACCCTCCGATATCTAGACGGATGCTCTACCGATTGAGCGACCTGGTCGTCAGCCATCGACGAAGTCTAGTTCTGCTACACATGTTAAACCATTAGCTCACATATCTTTTTTTTTTTTTTTTTACCTGAGGATGCGAGAAATCTTCCGTCTGGTGAGAAACACAGCGCCTGTACTGCTCCCTGTTAAAGATAAACACAGAGCTAGAAATGGGTCGTTTACATGTAGTTGAATATAATGTCAAACAAACTATTTCTAATGAATTCTTGGTGACTGAAATTCTGAGGTATATTTCACATACAACGACACCTGTCTAATGTGACGCCGTGGAAAACAACTAATTCGTCACATAAGACAGAAAACCTGAAAATACATCGTATATGCATGGTAGCTTTCATAATAGCTTGACAGTATTATGTTGGAATTAAAAAGAATGTAGAGACAGTTTAGATTTCACTGTATATATTTTCACGAAATTTGAAAGGATTGCCAAATTGAAACATTTCACACAGCTATTTGGAACCACCGAAAAATGGGACAAGCTCTAACATATTTAGATGACAAAAACAGAATACATCAGGGGCAGAAAAATAAATGCTCTTCCCAAGTACAACTGACATACTCAAAATCCTAGGGATGTATTCTCGTATAACAATCTATGAAAATACTGAAATGTTACAAAACAGAGCTACATTTGTATTATTCCATAAAGTTTGATCTTTTCTTGGATGAGGTGACAGGAAAAGTTGACAGACAGACAGACAGACAGACAGAAGACGGACATACAGACGAACAGACGGAGCACCACGGCATAAGCTCACTTGCCATTAGGACAGGTGAGCTAAAAAAAGTATTTGTAAGTTTCATGAAAAACTAATAGTATGTATTAAAATGATTTTTATAAAAAGTACTTTTGTTTTTGAAGAAAATCACAGTATTGTATGTGTCACATTCAACATATTATATAATTTAAAAAGAAAAAGTCTTATTTGGACTTATCTTTCCACTCTGTTGGACCTGTGTGACCAGGCTGTGTCCGTAATAAACTCATAATAGTGGGAAGGAATATAAAGGACAAAAATTCAATATTCAACACCACAGGGAACCAATGAAGCTAACCCAGATTTCCCTTGTAAGGTCCAGATGGAAGTTACCTACCTTATGTCCAGTGAGAATTCGGACACAATTGCCGGTCAAGTTGTCCCACATTCTGACCACTCGGTCACTTGACCCTGTCGCTACGTAGTTACTATTGGGGTGGAATAATGCACACTGGGAAAAAACAAAGAAAAAACAGAGTTTACACTATGGTAAAATACATGAAAATTGCAAGAATATTTCAAACATCACCAATGTTACCGTACGTTTCTGCAAAAATGAAAAAAATGAAAAAAAATGAAAAAAAAAAAAAAAATGAAACAAATTTGATCTTAATACTATCAATATACAAGATACCCAGCTGTTGAATTTAAATACTGTAGCTCTGAAGAGGATTTTTTAAGATAAAAAAAAAATGTTCTTCTCGCTAAATCATTAAAAGTGACCAGAAAACAGACGGATACATTGAAATCATATTAACCACTTAACACAACAGTAAGTTACAAAAGAGGCATGATTGATCTTAACAGGGGAAAAAACCTTCGGTAGTGAATGTTGAAGGTCAAGGTCATACGTACATCAACATCGGAGAGATGACCAGCAAATATTCTGACCGGTTGAGAGTGATCAGTTGTCCAGATTCTGGCTGTTTTATCGTGGCCACAGGACACAAAATAATGCCCATGGGGACTGAAATGAACAGAGGTCACTTGAAAAAACAAAATCTGTGCTGGTAATATCAAACTTCATTATAAAGCATAAGATAAACTAGATTCCTGTCTTTGTGAACAAAAAACGTATGTCTCCACTTATTAGCCAATATTATTTCCCCTTCCTTTGCAAAATTGGAAATACAATAATAAAGTCAAATAATTTTGATCACAATTTTGTTAAATACATCCAGATCATCAGTGGTGGAACAGCCTACATAATAATTCTAAATTACAAATGTGAGTAAATGTTATTAGAAAGTCATGACCTGGAAAGTCACAATACCCTAAAAGGTTAAAAGTTACAATACCCTAAAAGGTTAAAAGTCACAATACCCTAAAAGGTTAAAAGTTACAATTGAAAAGTTTGCACCTATTTTACCTTTGACCTTGAGATCAAAGTCACAGTGACCTAATTACAGTGCACTGTACATTGTCTGTAGGTGATGCATGTATACTGCAAGTTTCATCAAGATACATTTAATGGTTTATTAGTTATTATCTGAATGAAAGTTATTCTCAGCATTTGATGCATGGGTTGAGATGTACTACCTAAGATGCATCTATGGTCCAAGTTTGGTTGTTGTAGCACTTATACTTTCAGTGAAACTAAATTAAACGCAAAAACTTAATGTTGACGCCACCGCCGTTGCCAGAAAAGCAACACTTTAGTCTCGCTTCTGCTACTTCCTGGCGGCGAGACAAAAAACTATATCTGATAAGTACAGTACCTAAACTTGATAAATAAGGTTACTAAATTTGATTAGTACAGTACCTAAGCTTGATAAATAAGGTTACAAAATTTGATAAGTACAGTACCTAAACTTGATAAATAAGGTTACTAAATTTGATAAGAACAGTACCTAAACTTGATAAATAAGGTTACTAAATTTGATAGATATGACACCAAAGTATGATAAGTATAGTACCTAAATTTGATAAATAAGGTTACTAAATTTGATAAGTACAGTACCTAAACTTGATAAATAAGGTTACTAAATTTGATAGATACGATACCAAAGTATGATATATACATTACCTAAATTTAACGTCCCACACTGGGTAGATATGTCCTTTGTAACAAACCAAGTTGGTCCAGGTCAGTAAACTCCAAAGACGAACTGAAAACAGACCAAAAAAACCCATGTGATTCAAAGCTATCGGATAATGATGATTCAAATTTAACTTATTACTTAATTTGCCTTTCTAATTAAATTAATTTTTTATAATTTATAGTTTTTGTGATAGATTTTTGTTAAGATTTGAGGAACAGGCCTCGCTGAAGAAATGTGATGCCATACTTACTAGTACCGTCCTCCGAGGCAGATATCAGGAACTTGCGATCGCGGCTGAAGTTCGTGGCATACACTGGACCACTGTGCCCATGTAAGACCTTGAAGTCACTGGCCGTACGATCATCCATCATCCTCTCTAACACGTCATCTGTCAAATGAACAGTTACATATCAACTTTACATATACTGTAAATCAAGATATTTGATCTGTGGTTATATTTTTGCCTGTTTTTCGCCATCCTCAATATCCAGGGGTTATACCATGAGGTACTCATTTTTGCTCTCTGCACCCCTGGAATTTGTCAGCACAATTTGAAGGCTCAATGTGCGTACCGTAACCTAGTGAATGAGACAAGAAGAGTAGTCTGATCCTTTGGTGTACATCAAAAGAATCTTGAGATTGTGTAACGGTAGATTTTACTGGCTTTAAAGTAGGGTGTCACTCCTCTGTAATGGACAGGTATATATCAGCCTAGTGATTGGTCCGTTTTTTTACACCTAAGACCAATGGAAGAGCTCGTCGCATGTCTTCAATTTCGCTATGACATACTCCAGGGGTGCAGAGAGCAAAAGTGAGCGTTACCCCTAGAGTATCGAGGATCATTTTGCGCAAGATTCAAATTAACAAACACTAGACATGTAAGAATTTAACGATTGTAAAAAATTAACCCTCAAGTTATCTGTAAAGCCGTGTTAGAGTACCAGATTACCAGAATTGTTTTGTCAAAAGCTAGAAAGGTCTCAGTCAGCCGTGATAATCTAGAAGGTTCCAATGCTGTAATGAAGGGTGTATTACCGGTAAAATCGCAGCAAGTCCAGGTCAATAAAGTCTGAATTTGCCAAAAGAATTGACCAGTAAAAATATATACGGCTATTTTCCAGAATTAACCTATGTAAAAATGTCCGGATTTAAGGTATATCTTTACGATATTTGTATTTTTTACAGGAGTGCTGTTTGTTTGTGGTTTAGCGTCCTTACAACAGCTTGGGGCATATGAAGACAGGTGCCTTGGGAGATAACGATGAAAAGAAGGAGTAGAGAAGACAGAAAGGAAAAGATGTAGATACCAAGCCATGGGGGCAGCCGATCACGAGTAACACTATTATACAGACTAAATCACGAGAGTTATCTTTTGTCACAGTATTCTACAATCAGGTCGTTTCATGCTCTGTTGAATTCGCAGTTTGACATTGACCTTGGGCTGGTGACCTAATCACCTGTTTCTTTGTCGATGAGGTCAAGATCTTTTGGCTTCTTCATGGTGCGTAGCTTTGTTGCATTGAGACTGAACACCCTGATGGTGGAATTGGAGAACCCCGCGGCAAGCAGACTCGAGTCTTCACTGATCTCCACACACGTCGCCCTGGCAACAAAGACAGAAAATTGTAGGTCAAAGGACAAGGGTCAGAAAATTACCATTAACGTAATTATTGAATATGGAATTCCAAAGATGTCCGTCCCTGCTGGTGGCCATGATGATTTTCAGATTTGGTTCAAAATCAAAGAACAGCCGGTGTTTGATACATAGATCTGTGCAGCAAGTTTCAAGAACATCAAAGCATTTTTTCAAGAGTTATCACACGGAAGCCATTTTTGCAGCTGCTAATGATGAACTGGTCTGTATATGCCATCTTAACTTTGAAGATAACACAAGTTTGCCTACAAAGAGATTTGATACTGCAGGAATTGTGCTAGATTAAAGATATCAATTCTTTTAATATAAACACATTTTAGCGAATAATAAGAGAGACACAAGTTATACTAATATTAAATTGGTCCCATAAAAATTCAAAAATGACAAATTGAAAAGGTTTGGTCAAACTGCATACCATTTAACATATTGACAAAGTTTGCCATCATAAAGACATTTGCTGGTAAATTCTATGAAACATATCGGTTTTGTAAAGAATTGAGCAATGTTTCGAAGGTCTCTTACCCCTGGAAGGAGTTGTGTAGTGTGTAGGAGGAAACTTACCCCTGGAAGGAGTTGTGTAGTGTGTAGGAGGAAACTTACCCCTGGAAGGAGTTGTGTAGTGTGTAGAAGGTAACTTACCCCTGGAAGGAGTTGTGTAGTGTGTAGGAGGAAACTTACCCCTGGAAGGAGTTGTGTAGTGTGTAGAAGGTAACTTACCCCTGGAAGGAGTTGTGTAGTGTGTAGGAGGAAACTTACCCCTGGAAGGAGTTGTGTAGTGTGTAGAAGGTAACTTACCCCTGGAAGGAGTTGTGTAGTGTGTAGGAGGAAACTTACCCCTGGAAGGAGTTGTGTAGTGTGTAGAAGGTAACTTACCCCTGGAAGGAGTTGTGTAGTGTGTAGGAGGAAACTTACCCCTGGAAGGAGTTGTGTAGTGTGTAGAAGGTAACTTACCCCTGGAAGGAGTTGAGTAGTGTGTAGGAGGAAATGTACCCCTGGAAGGAGTTTTGTAGTGTGTAGGTGGAAACTTACCCCTGGAAGGAGTTGAGTAGTGTGTAGGAGGAAACTTACCCCTGGAAGGAGTTGTGTAGCGTTTAGAAGGTAACTTACCCCTGGAAGGAGTTGTGTAGCGTTGAGAAGGTAACTTACCCCTGGAAGGAGTTGTGTAGCGTTTAGAAGGTAACTTACCCCTGGAAGGAGTTGAGTAGCGTGTAGAAGGAAACTTACCCCTGGAAGGAGTTGTGTAGTGTGTAGAAGGGAACTTACCCCTGGAAGGAGTTGTGTAGTGTGTAGGGGGTAACTTACCCCTGGAAGGAGTTGTGTAGTGTTTAGAAGGTAACTTACCCCTGGAAGGAGTTGAGTAGTGTTTAGGAGGAAACTTACCCATGGAAGGAGTTGTGTAGTGTGTAGAAGGTAACTCACCCCTGGAAGGAGTTGTGTAGCGTGTAGAAGGAAACTTACCCCTGGAAGGAGTTGTGTAGCGTGTAGAAGGAAACTTACCCCTGGAAGGAGTTGTGTAGCGTGTAGAAGGGAACTTACCCCTGGAAGGAATTGAGTAGTGTGTAGGTGGTAACTTACCCCTGGAAGGAATTGAGTAGTGTGTAGAAGGTAGCTTACCCCTGGAAGGAATTGAGTAGTGTGTAGAAGGGAACTTACCCCTGGAAGGAGTTGTGTAGTGTGTAGAAGGTAACTCACCCCTGGAAGGAGTTGTGTAGCGTGTAGAAGGAAACTTACCCCTGGAAGGAATTGAGTAGTGTGTAGGTGGTAACTTACCCCTGGAAGGAGTTGTGTAGTGTGTAGGGGGTAACTTACCCCTGGAAGGAGTTGTGTAGTGTTTAGAAGGTAACTTACCCCTGGAAGGAGTTGTGTAGTGTGTAGAAGCTAACTTACCCCTGGAAGGAGTTGTGTAGTGTGTAGGTGGTAACTTACCCCTGGAAGGAATTGAGTAGTGTGTAGGAGGAAACTTACCCCTGGAAGGAATTGAGTAGTGTGTAGAAGGTAGCTTACCCCTGGAAGGAATTGAGTAGTGTGTAGAAGGTAGCTTACCCCTGGAAGGAATTGAGTAGTGTGTAGAAGGTAGCTTACCCCTGGAAGGAATTGAGTAGTGTGTAGAAGGTAGCTTACCCCTGGAAGGAATTGAGTAGTGTGTAGAAGGTAACTTACCCCTGGAAGTAGTTGAGTAGCGTGGGGAAGGTAACTTACCCCTGGAAGGAATTGAGTAGCGTGTAGAAGCAGATTGACGGCATGTTAGCTGCGTTGATTTTCACTCTTTTTGTCCCCTCCCGAAACAGTAGTGTGTAGAAGGTAACTTACCCCTGGAAGGAATTCAGTAGCGTGTAGAAGCAGATTGACGGCATGTTAGCTGCGTTGATTTTCACTCTTTTTGTCCCCTCCCGAAACAGTAGTGTGTAGAAGGTAACTTACCCCTGGAAGTAGTTGAGTAGCGTGGGGAAGGTAACTTACCCCTGGAAGGAATTGAGTAGTGTGTAGAAGGGAACTTACCCCTGGAAGGAGTTGTGTAGTGTGTAGGTGGAAACTTACCCCTGGAAGGAGTTGAGTAGTGTGTAGAAGGTAACTTACCCCTGGAAGTAGTTGAGTAGCGTGTAGAAGGTAACTTACCCCTGGAAGGAGTTGTGTAGCGTGTAGAAGGAAACTTACCCCTGGAAGGAATTGAGTAGTGTGTAGAAGGGAACTTACCCCTGGAAGGAGTTGTGTAGTGTGTAGGAGGAAACTTACCCCTGGAAGTAGTTGAGTAGCGTGTAGAAGGTAACTTACCCCTGGAAGGAATTGAGTAGTGTGTAGGTGGTAACTTACCCCTGGAAGGAGTTGTGTAGTGTTTAGAAGGTAACTTACCCCTGGAAGGAGTTGAGTAGCGTGGAGAAGGTAACTTACCCCTGGCAGGAGTTGTGTAGTGTGTAGAAGGTAACTTACCCCTGGAAGGAGTTTAGTAGTGTGTAGAAGGTAACTTACCCTTGGAAGGAGTTGTGTAGAGGAAACTTACCCCTGGAAGGAGTTGTGTAGTGTGTAGGTGGAAACTTACCCCTGGAAGGAGTTGAGTAGTGTGTAGGATGAATCTTACCCCTGGAAGGAGTTGTGTAGCGTTTAGAAGGTAACTTACCCCTGGAAGGAGTTGTGTAGCGTAGTGTGTAGAAGGTAACTTACCCCTGGAAGGAATTGAGTAGTGTGTAGAAGGTAACTTACCCCTGGAAGGAATTGAGTAGCGTGTAGAAGCAGATTGACGGCATGTTAGCTGCGTTGATTTTCACTCTTTTTGTCCCCTCCCGAAACACCGTAATCTTCTCTATCTTGTCACTGTCTTTACTGAAAACAGACCAAGTAACATCAGTCACATTTGCTAACTTACACTGAATCACAGGTATAGTCTGTGTAACAGGAAAAGAATAGTGTGCTTCCATCGAACCCTCGATCTCCAGGTTCCTATAGCTAGTTGGACGCTCTACCACTGAGCTAAAGGGAAATTCCCTCTAGCTCGAAGCTATAAGGCGACCTTAATCTTGTGTACAATTAAAACCTGCCACACTACTCCCCCCCTTTTTAAATGTGTTCGCCCTCGAACACCACAACCCAGGTTCTAACTCCCTGTCACCAAAGGGAGGGCCTTGGACACCATTTGTAACAGGAAAGAGAGTAGTGTGCTTCTGTCGGGGATTGAACCGGCGACCCGATGTTCCTAGTCAAACGCTTTACCACTGAGCTAAAGGGAAATTCCCTCTTGCTAGAAGCTAGAAGGCTACATTAATCCTATGTACAATTAAAACCTGCCACAGTCTGTAAGGAAGCTTTTATAACTACCATCGGTTCATTTAAACCTGCCACACTACTCCCCCCCTTTTTAAATGTGTTTGCCCTCGAACACCACAACCCAGGTTCTAACTCCCTGTCACCACAGAGAGGGCCACGGACACCATTTGTAACAGGAGAGAGAGTAGTGTGAGTCCTCCAGGAGTAGGACCACTCTGAGATTACAGATCATGAGATTCAGGAAATTTTCCTTAATCAATCAGAAGTAATTTTCATCAATTCTGTAAATTTCAGTGAAAAATCAGAGTGGACTTAAATAAAACATCTGTACCTTACTTATAGTTCTGGTAGTGGTATTCTGTTATTCTGAGGGGTGTTGGGATCATTCTGAGGGGTGTTGGGATCATTCTGAGGGGTGTTGTGATCATTCTGAGGGGTGTTGGGATCATTCTGAGGGATCATTCTGAGGGGTGTTGGGATCATTCTGAGGGGTGTTGGGATCATTCTGAGGGGTGTTGGGATCATTTTAGGACTTACAGTTTTGGTAGTGGTATTCTGTTATTCTGAGGGGTGGTGGGATCATTTTCTGACTTACAGTTCTGGTAGCGGTATTCTGTTATTCTGAGGGGTGTTGGGATCATTTTAGGACTTACAGTTCTGGTAGTGGTATTCTGTTATTCTGAGGGGTGTTTGGATCATTTTAAGACTTACAGTTCTGGTAGCGGTATTCTGTTATTCTGAGGAGTGTTGGGATCATTTTCTGACTTACAGTTCTGGTAGCGGTATTCTGTTATTCTGAGGGGCGTTGGGATCATTTTCTGACTTACAGTTCTGGTAGCGGTATTCTGTTATTCTGAGGGGTGTTGGGGTCATTTTCTGACTTACAGTTCTGGTAGCGGTATTCTGTTATTCTGAGGGGGGTTGGGATCATTTTCTGACTTACAGTTCAGGCAGCGGTATTCTGTTATTCTGAGGGGCATTCGGATCATTTTTGGACTTCTTCATCATAAGAGGATCTTTCTTCTGCTTCCTTTTCTGGAAATTAATTTAAAGCAAAGCTACTAAAAAAAATGATAATAATGATAAGTCACCACCTTCCTGTTGTCTGTGGTATCAACATGTACAGGGTACACCACACAAGCCCTCTGTAATCTCAGCATCAATGCCGACACTAGACATAGAAGTGATTTGAACCAGTCATTAGGTCAGTCCTGATTCTAACATCAAGCAGGGGAGGGAGGGGGTTATAGATGAAGGTGATTTGCTATTGTCTTAAATCAAGCTATATATGCACTCCTCTGTCCCTCCTCATCTTAGAATTATCGTCCCCCTCCCCTCTGTCCCTCCTCACCTTAGGTATATCGTCCCCCCCCCCTCTGTCCCTCCTCACCTTAGGTTTATCATCCGCTCCTCACCTTAGGTTTATCGTCCCCCCCCTCACCTTAGGTTTATCGTCCCCCTCCTCACCTTAGGTTTATCGTCCCCCTCCCCTCTGTCCCTCCTCACCTTAGGTTTATCGTCCCCCTCCCATCTGTCCCTCCTTACCTTAGGTTTATCTTCCCCCTCCCCGGTTTTCTCCTCCTCCTCCAGTGGTATATTGATGTCTGGCTCCTCAGTCCCTTCTCACCTTAGGTTTATCGTCCCCCTCCTCACCTTAGGTTTATTGTCCCCCTGCCCTCTGTCCCTCCTCACCTTAGGTTTATCATCCCCTCCTCACCTTAGGTTTATCGTCCCCCTCCCCTCTGTCCCTCCTCACCTTAGGTTTATCGTCCCCCTCCTCACCTTAGGTTTATTGTCCCCCTGCCCTCTGTCCCTCCTCACCTTAGGTTTATCATCCCCTCCTCACCTTAGGTTTATCGTCCCCCTCCCCTCTGTCCCTCCTCACCTTAGGTTTATCGTCCCCCTCCTCACCTTAGGTTTATCGTCCCCCTCCTCACCTTAGGTTTATCGTCCCCCTACCCTCTGTCCCTCCTCACCTTAGGTTTATCGTCCCCCTCCTCACCTTAGGTTTATCGTCCCCCTCCTCACCTTAGGTTTATCGTCCCCCTACCCTCTGTCCCTCCTCACCTTAGGTTTATCGTCCCCCTCCTCACCTTAGGTTTATCGTCCCCCTCCTCACCTTAGGTTTATCGTCCCCCTACCCTCTGTCCCTCCTCACCTTAGGTTTATCGTCCCCCTCCTCACCTTAGGTTTATCGTCCCCCTCCTCACCTTAGGTTTATCGTCCCCCTACCCTCTGTCCCTCCTCACCTTAGGTTTATCGTCCCCCTCCTCACCTTAGGTTTATCGTCCCCCTCCTCACCTTAGGTTTATCGTCCCCCTACCCTCTGTCCCTCCTCACCTTAGGTTTATCGTCCCCCTCCTCACCTTAGGTTTATCGTCCCCCTCCTCACCTTAGGTTTATCGTCCCCCTACCCTCTGTCCCTCCTCACCTTAGGTTTATCGTCCCCCTCCTCACCTTAGGTTTATCGTCCCCCTCCTCACCTTAGGTTTATCGTCCCCCTACCCTCTGTCCCTCCTCACCTTAGGTTTATCGTCCCCCTCCTCACCTTAGGTTTATCGTCCCCCTCCTCACCTTAGGTTTATCGTCCCCCTACCCTCTGCCCCTCCTCACCTTAGGTTTATCGTCCCCCTCCTCACCTTAGGTTTATCGTCCCCCTCCTCACCTTAGGTTTATCGTCCCCCTCCTCACCTTAGGTTTATTGTCCCCCTACCCTCTGTCCCTCCTCACCTTAGGTTTATCGTCCCCCTCCTCACCTTAGGTTTATCGTCCCCCTCCTCACCTTAGGTTTATCGTCCCCCTCCTCACCTTAGGTTTATTGTCCCCCTCCTCACCTTAGGTTTATTGTCCCCCTCCTCACCTTAGGTTTATCGTCCCCCTCCCCGGTTTCCTCCTCCTCCTCCAGTGGGATGTTGATGTCCGGCTCCTTCAGTAGGCCGTAGTACACCTTCACTCTGTTAGCTGTGCCACAAAAACACAGAACTGTAACAGTGTTGTTTGGTATTTATTTACCCTAGTGTTGGGCATCGTGTATAAAAACTGTGTAAGAAATAGCTTTCTGTTTTGGATTATGAGATCCCTCCAGTTGAGCATGTGAAAATGGAATAACTTGAGTTATCACTTCATAATCTCTTACTAACAACGGGAAATATCTCCTATAGTTACAGTAATTTTCTGTGAATAATTCATAAATATATTGTTCATTAGTCTGAACAGGAGACAAAAAATTCATTTTCAAAAAGGAATAACATGTGATTGATTCAATAAAAGTTACAGCCTTAAATTTGCATGAACCTTAAGTTTGTTAACTCCGCCCACATCTACTGCTGATGAAGTCACACAACTGTGTCTCATTTGAGGAAAATTTGAATAGCTCTGCCAACATGTATTGTTGTCAACGTCAAGTTCTATCGTCAGGGTATGAGATTCTTACGTAGATTGCCTTTTTTTGGTTTATATTTTCCGGCGCAGACGTAACCTGGCATGAGCAGTTTTTTTTTTGGAGAAAATATGTTCTCAAATGGGAAAATCCTTTCTGAAGTTCTTTTCCAAGTCGTTTTTAACCTTGAGTAAAACCTTGATATAATGCCCGTCATTTCATTTGCCACCTCACTTACTTTCAACAGTTTATATTAATACAGGTGTATTGGTACGTTAATAAAAACACAGGTGTATCCACGATCAGTTTACATACAATCTAGGTGTGCTGATGAGTCAACAAAACACATATTTGTTGACATATTTGTTGACAAGTTTGTTGACAAGTTTGTTGACATGTGAGTACCTTCTCGCTCCGACTCCCCCAGGACGGCTCCACTCGACTGCTGTATCTGCTGTTTATTTCTCGGCATACCGTCAAAAACTGAAAAGAAAACAATCCAGAAACTCTGTTAAACCAACCTGACCGTTTTGTGTTATGTACAATGAATGAGATCCCCAATTACAGATAAGTTTCTCAAATAGAACAGCGTTTCCCATTCATTCAGTAAAACAGTAGAAACAGTGTTTCCCATTCATTCAGTAAAACAGGAGAAAGTAAACACTAAGTGATCCTGATAATAAAACATAAAACTAAACTATATTTTGTAGTTACCCAATAAGTTTCCAAGAGTTACCTCCCCTGGTTTATGGATTTCGCTAAAAAAATGTGTTCATTTAAATGACATTAAGGTAGAGAGTTCCACCATTCTGTGTTTTATCTCCAACAAAGAAGAGTTCCAATTTGTTTAGAATTTTTCTGACTTGGGCTTATTAGCAAATTCACTGTAGTAAACTGGTACACATGAAAGAAATATTTTATTTTTGTTTTCACAAAAACATTTCATCCTTAGAGATTTGATCCCTGTACATCTCTATTGCATGTACCAGTAATCTTCTCCACTATGCTTTTAGGTCATGATGTCTGTAATGTTAATATTTTTCTGCGACACTATTTGAAATAATTTCAAAATGTTCTTACTCCAGTAAAAGGCACACTACCTAAACCTGGTATGTAGTAAAAAGAAATAACACAGATTTAACAACATTATCATTGTTTGTCGCCAGTATACAATAGGCAAGTGGTTATACTATCAACTTCAGACATCCCACAGGTAGTAGTGTACAGTAGCGTACGGTCCGGCCCACCCCACGGGTGATTTTTTGTACAGTGAATAACCACTGTAATTACATATTTTATTATATCAAAATTGAAGAAAAAAAAGCAAAAAAAAAGCACTTAAGGCCAAATAAAATTAATTACTTGGTTCTCAGGCCAATTTTTTTCAAAAGAGATGCAAAAGGGGCGGGTTTTTTTTATTGTGTAGTTTGTAAAACATTCCTTGTGGGCATTACCTTGTCTTTTTATAGTTGTGTAGAGACCCGTCATAGAGCAAGCCTCCGAAAGTCCCCCCATGATGTTCCAGACGAGAATCACGAACCCCCCATTCCTTATTTGTAACGAGTAATGAGCGCCATTTGTACACAAGACTAATAAGTCATAATCATTTTAATGCTTGCCTGTATATCAAACCTTGGGCTTGTTTGTTTATGCAGAACAACCGGTTTGACCGTTTATAAATGTAATAATTTCGGGTATAAATCCTGGCGGACTTGCAAATGTTTATGCAGGCCTTGCAAGGCTTTGTCAAGGCTCGCCTGAAAGCAACATCAGATTACTAGGTCTGACCATTTTCAATAAACGAACAACAGTGGTCCGACCGGTTTGACCGTTTACACGAAAACAGCCCTTATCATTATTCAAACGTTTTTGGGACTTGGGTGACTAACGAGTAAAAATGACATGCGGACCAATTTTCCAGATTTTTTTAAAGACGGCGGCTGGCGCATTCACAATATTTTTTTTATTACTTTCACGACAAAATGGGCAATGCAGTGCCCTAAAATGAAATGTGCGCGGGCCTGAGAACCAAGTAATCAAATTTGTTTGGCCTAAATTTGCATTTACATGATGAAGTGGACTATGTGGGCTTCATAATATTTCAAGAAAAAAAGTTGCATTTGGTTTGAGAGCACTGTTGACCATTAACAAATCTGTGTCTGTGTCTGTTTTTCAAGAACGATAACTCTTACCTGCAATTACTATGTGTATATGGTTTATTATAAAATGTCTGTGTATAGAGAATTAATTTTACACAATTTCAGCATTTATTAAATTGATATACATTAATGCCATACTAATATATGTCAGTATCATTTTTATTGACATTATTTTGTAAAAATACTTTCATTTTTTTTTCAAAGTTCACTCCTTTTTACTTAAATTTCCATTTAAAATCCTTAAAATTCTAACAACCTATATTTTTTTTGTGGCAGAAAATTTTCTTTACTCTAAAGCATTATAACTACAAAATTTGAAGAAATTCTACTGAGAAATGGTGACACAATCCTATTACCTTAAGTAATGAACTTTCTTAACTCAAATGGATTTATTTAGCGCTACAGGTTTCTTTGACGGGTGGCTTGTGAACGACATCAAAGATCTCACTTCATCCCAGCCCATATGTTGTTGGATGATTTCTTCGCTTTTCTAAAGTACAGTATTTAAACAGACACAATTGCATTTTAATTTTGTCTTCTTTTTTTTAAACGAAAATTGTTGCCATAATCCTTAGCTCCTGCTTCAACAATTAATAATACTACAGATAAAAAAGGTAAATGTATCGAGGCGTAAAAAGAAAAGGAAATGTAATTACAGTTCTCCGTGTTTGTTTTTAGGGGTCTTTAAACTGATATTGATAATCATCATATGAGAATATGTTCAAACCAATCATATAATATTAGTGATTGATTCACTGAAACCATAATACAATTACAAGTTTACAATTTTTCTCGGTTATATTTAAAAGATAAGGTTAGTGCAGGCAAATTCGCCATGCACCCAAATCGCCAGCCAGTGACGTAATTGTGTCATATCACGTCATATTTACAGAAGATGTGACGTAAATAACGTCACTGGAATCTTCAGCACAGGCACAGCTTTTAAACATTATGACAAGAAGCGGTATAAGAAGAAAAAACAATCGTATTAATTTAAACAGTTATAAAATCGCTTGTAACATGACGACAATCTAAAACATTTGGTCTGTGCGCTGGATATCTCGTCAACTAATACGATCAATCTTACACGTACAAATTGTGGTAACATACTCTACACAGAGGAGAGGAAACAAGGGGCACTTTTTTGTTGAAATGAATAAATAAATAGATAAATAAATAAATAAAAGGACATACTGTAGCAGTACAGTAAAGAAAGACCATAATGATGTTAAGGTTCAAGTAACATCTTCTACACAGCAGGCACAATAATATGTTGTTTTTTTTAACAATCTAAATATATTTATGTCGGTTGATATTTCAACTGTGTAAGTATTTAGGAGCTATAAGGTACACAAACCATACGTGAGAAGGATGGTAAATCCGTACACATTTTTGATAAATAACTTTTTATATTTCTGGATCCAATTACCTACAAAACACACACAAGACTAGCTAGTTTACTTTGATATGATTCAGACAGTAATCACGCCAGTTATCTAGCTTTTCTTCAAATGATAGTTTCTATAGTATATGTCAGCAATGTGCGAATCCGCTGACTGGTCAGTAATCAAGAACCGCGGTTAGAATCCTGCGTGTAGTACATCTCTCAATTAATCAAAGGATGCCATGTGCACCGTCACGTTCAATAAAGCATTGCAAAAAATAGTATAATCAGCACTTTTCTAATCGTGGCAAAAGTACCTGTAATGTTGACCTTAAAGGACTTAAAGAAAAAACAATATTGTTGAAATATGGTTTGATTTTAATCATGGACTTAAATGACTGCATGTATATTCCACTACATACATTGTATACATTAGTACGGTAGTTTACTGAATTGTGCTTGAATGATAGAAGTGGCAAATCAAACTGGCGTGAAAATGTTTTTCGTTATTTTTGTTCTTCAAACAAATGAAACAGCAGTTTCCGACCCTGCCGTGATTTGTTGTTGTTGGTTGATTGTATTAAAAAAAAATAACGATCTTACGTAAATAGCATTTCAACTATCACAACCTAGAAAAGTTATATTTATTTCAATGTTAATCATTGTTAAACACACACATTTGGAGCTGTTTGTATCAAACATTGAGCAAACCACGGAATGACTGACGTCACAAATGTTGCTGCGTGACGTCATTCAGGCGTGTTTACAACAATGTTTATTTAAAGACATTTCAGTAAAAATCTTCTGTATTGGTGAACGTCGGCATTTTGATACTTTGCATTCTATATTCGGACGAATTAGTAGCTGAAACCATTACTATAGTGACGAATTTGCCTTCACTAACATAAGCATGAGCTTGGACACAAGTTAATTTTACAGAACCGCGATTCTTACATAGATCCCCCCCCCCTCACCACGAGACGTATATATACTACACTTCTACAATCTGCATACCTCTGCCCTAACCCTTCCCAGTATGGCGGGGGTATTCACAAGAACATTTCTTTTGATGTTGTTGTTGTTTATCTGAGTTGAAGTGAAGTAGAATGTATGAAACAAACCCCCTCTGTTCACATCTATTTCTGATGTAGCGGCATCAATGACGTGACCTACGTATACGTCAAATGTAGGCATGCTGCCACTCTTGGCAAAAAAAGGCGAAACTGGCGACTGCGCTTGCGTGGTGTTTCTTACTAAGATGAATCCTACCTTCAACACAAGAGAGTTCCGAAATCGTAACTTACGAAATCTTTGTAAGTTAAGTTTACGACGAAACTTACGAACGCTTTAGTAAAACAGACACTTCGTAACTTAAGTTTATACTTACGAAATTCGTAAGTTGGATTTTTTTGCGTAACTTAAGTTGCTTAGTAAAACTCACCCCAGGCCATTTCTACTGTTCACTGCTACCTACAGGGACATGGTCTTTGCTATAGTAATACTCCATTCCTATTAGATGGGATTTAGACAGCTCTATTCTAAATACAACAAGAGGCCCTCTGTATCACTCACCTGGATATGTTTAAAGTATTTGATATGAGGAAGCACACCCACCGTTTATACAAAATTGAGTCCCCTTGGCCTAAAGATGTTCAAGACATAATTGGGATAAAATCCCTTAACCCCTATGGTAGACTTTAAAAGGCTTTTTTTTAAGATTTTAAAGGTTTACCTCTATTTCCCCTATTTGGCCCCACACCTCTACCCCTAGGAGGGCCACACCCACCGTTTATACAAAATTGAGTGCCCTTGACCCAAGGATGCTCCAGACCAAATTTAGTTAGAATCCACTAAGATGTTCAGGACAAGTAGCGTTTTAAAGGATAAGTTGACGGACGGACGCTGCGCCATGGCTAAAACAACAATCACAGCTAGTCCATGCAAACACATCAAGACGTACCATCCACGAACAGATGTTCCTGTATAATGTTCAGTAAAGGTTTCATCTTCTTCTCCTGTAGGCGCCGCTTAAGATGGATGTAGGAGTCCCGCGACATCTTTATCACAAACTTGCTCGATCTGAAATATACATGATATGTAACATTATGATAGGACGGCCCCCCCAGCATTATGATAGGACGGCCCCCAATGTTATGATAGGACGGCCCCCAACATTATGATAAGACGGCCCCCAGCATTATGATAGGATGGCCCCCAACATTATGATAGGATGGCCCCCAACATTATGATAGGACGGCCCCCAACATTATGATAAGACGGCCCCCATCATTATGATAGGATGGCCCCCAACATTATGATAGTATGCCCCCCAACATTATGACAGGACGACCCCCAACATTATGATAGGACGCCCCCCAACATTATGATAGGACGGCCCCCAAAATTATGAAAGGACGACCCCCAACATTATGATAGGACGACCCCCAACATTATCATAGGATGGCCCCCAACATTATGATAGGACGGCCCCCAACATTATGATAGGATGGCCCCCAACATTATGATAGGATGCCCCCCAACATTATGACAGGACGACCCCCAACATTATGATAGGACGGCCCCCAGAATTATGATAGGACGACCCCCAACATTATGATAGGACGACCCCCCAACATTATGATAGGACGACCCCCAACATTATCATAGGATGGCCCCCAACATTATGATAGGACGGCCCCCAAAATTATGATAGGACGACACCCAACATTATGATAGGACGACCCCCAACATTATGATAGGACGGCCCCCAATACAGTAATGTCATACAAAGCCACACCATAAAACAGGGTAGATATGCTGAGACCTAGACACAGGAACTTCTTTAGGATTTTTTCAGGTGGTTGCTGAATATCATTTTCAAAATGTTGATGAGTGTCATTTTTAAGAGATATACAAAGACGCCTATTGTGATTTATGGGTATTGCAAACTGATTCTGATTCCCAAGCTCTTCTTCCTCTTACTTCTATGCAATTATATTATCATATTACAAATTTTACAAAGACGATTATTGTCTATTACGAAGCAAATCAACAGTCCCCTCAAGTGAAATTCAGTGGTGTTTTAACACTGTAGTACGAACCCGACTTTTGTAATCAGAAATCACACACAAAACTGCAGTGATCTCAACCATGGTCACCGAGAGGCTCCCAAGGGGGTAACTAACAGCTATTTGCTTTTATACGTTTTTCACGACTACTGAACAGAGGGAGTTGTGTATTTGATGACAATAAAGGTCTCAACTACTGAATATGATGCGGCTGAAGAATGTTGGTGTCATAAATGTCTGCTATTAAGATGAAGACACAGAAGGAGTTTCTTGATTCTGGCCAGTCACCTCATACCATCATGCAGTGAGATACCTGATAGGCGCTAAAATTTATAGGAAGACTGATGTTTAGTTATACATGACAGACTTCCTGTAAAATACCAATAAACCCTTCAAACTTAACATAAGAGTAAACTTGTGTGATTGTGTTCTCTATTAAATGAATCTATCAGATGCAGTATATACCATCAGGAACATTTAGGAAATTAGCACTAAAAATCCCTAAGATATGTGTACCACCTAACTTAATGGTTCCCAAAGAAACCAAAGCATGTGCCCACAATTAATCTCCAAAAATCATCTATGTGGGGCCTATACCCTCATTTGAAATTTTCTTAACAAATCTTTACAATAGCTCTAAACTCTTGTTTGAAGCTTTCTTAAAAAATCTCCACAATATCTGTACAGCTTCATTTAAATTTTTCATATTAAAGAAATCTCACAAATATCTGTAGGCGATTCTGCCTTAATGGAAATTTGCTAAAGAAATCTCTACTGTACAAGTGCCGCCTTACTTGAAGTTTTCCATCAGACTGTTTCCCTGCATGTGTTCCTGCTTGACCACAGTGGACAGTTGTCTGAGGTCATCCTGGTAGTAATCTTCTTGGTCAGTATGGAACTTCTCAAAAAACTCCACCGCTACAGGAGAAAAAAACACTTATTATTGTTGGTCAATGTGTTACCTACAGTCATCACTCCACCGCTACAGGAGAAAAAATCACTTATTAGTCCCAGTCAATGTGTCAGCTAGCTGGTCATCTGACTCTTAACTCATTCACCTCTGAAGACACATTTGAACCCTTCCAATTTATAGGTTGGAATAGTTCATTATGAAATTTCGGGGTCAATGAGTAAATAATGACAAAATGTCAACGAAAACTGAATGAGTAGTACACTACATGGTTTTTTTCACAGACGTTACAGTAGTCATGTTTACTTTTGTCTTGTTAAAAGCTTTTCTAAAATTCTTTAAATTTCACTAATACTGGTGGACCTTCTTGTGTTTCTTTTGTTTGATAGATACCAGAAAATCTGTTGTCCGAAAAATGTGATAAAAACTGCAAAAAATAAGAATGCTATGGAATTTATTTTAAGTCTTGCCTGCCTGGCTTTGTTTTGACAGTCAATGTTCGGCAATTTAACCGAAATATACAGCCAAACGCAAATATTTAACCTTCATATGCAAACAACCAATAGTGCTGCAGCGTACCAACTATAATACGCACAGCATCTGAAACTTGGAATGAAATATACTAAGATGTATATACTCTGATTTAACATTTAACATTTAAAGTTGACAAATTTCAATTTATTTTAAATCTTTGAAAATAACATTTAAATTTTTGAAAATAACATTTAAATCTTTGAAAATAACACTTATATCTTTAAAAATAACATTTAAAATCTTTAAAAATAACATTTAAATCTTTAAAAATAACATTTAAATCTTTAAAAACAACATTTAAAAATTTAAATCTGCATAAGAAACTTGAATAATACAGATAATTATTAAATCATATTTTGAGTTCAAAAGAATTACATACATGTACTAAATGTTCAAAACTTTCAAACATTTAAATAGTAATGTATTAAAACAAGCCAGGACCCACACACCATCTGACGCTCGGAACAAGATATGCTGCCCAGGGTGTGTAGTATATTACTTGGTCCAGTACTAACACTCTTTTTCAGATTCAACATATAAAATAAGGAGGCACAGTAGTCTAGTGGTAGGACGCCGGACTCGTGACTGAAGGGAGGCAGGTTTGAGTCACGTCACGACACTGTGTTGTATCTTTGAGCAAGATACTTCACTCTGCTTGTTCCAGTCTACTCAGCTGTAAATGAGTATGTGGAAATGGCAGCATCGGCTGTATGCTTCCCAGGGGTTGAGAAAGATATTGGCTGGTTGCAAAGGCCCTATTACCACGGATAATAATTTGTGAACCGCTTTGAGACGACCTACGAACTAGGTTGTGATAAAGCGGTATATAAGAACCTCAAGATTACGTGTTTTGGTTTTCACTTACCATGACTTTCGTGTCCATTGTAAACGAGCTCTAGGTACATGTGGACAAATACTGGGTACAAGATCACAGCCAGCTCCACCTGAAAATGATAACCATTATCATATAAAGCGTAATCGACTTTGTCAATGATCTATCCTGCGTGTGAATAAACGCTGATTATAGCACTTTTTTATTAAACCACATCTATAATATAGACACTAACTTGTGCAAGGAAAGATAACCTAACGAATGATACATTCAAGTTTTCAATCGATGCCTTATTGAGTGAGTTACGTGAAATTTCCCGACGATTTTGTAATTGTTATATCCCTATTAGGTTAACAAAATAGTTGGAAAATTTAATATTTTTGACGTATTTCAATGAAAATACGTTTCTATTAGCATCACCAGATATACGTGTTCACAGGGAATGTGTGTATAAGCAGTATTTGTAGATATTTTGGGTTTAAAATGGGTATATTGCACATATATGGAAACACATTGTGTCAAAGCCCCGCCATACTTAATCCCATTGCAGGTCAGTTAGACCAATAAACAGATGAGTCAGCTACAGAATTCACGATCCATCTTAGTTGGAACAACTAGGTGTAGATATTACCGAGTTTTCGGTAGAGTGATTCATGATGTCCAGCTTATCTTCCTCCTAGATTCTAACAGGAGTCACACAGCAGAAGTCTCCTGATATTGACTTCCTGCTGCTACGTTAACATCATCACTGACTTAAACTTTCACGCCGGCTCATGGCCGCCAAGGACCATAAATTACAGATTCAATCTTTTAAAGGATTGAATTCTTCGTATTGTCTTATTGCTTGTGTGAGTGACACCTGTGACACGTAACTACAACATGGAGGGTTTCACATCGTGTTTCTTTAAAGCGATTATTAATCAATCATCGGTTAATTAATGGTAATCAATGATTGATGATAAAATTTCAATGGATTCCCACCACTATTTACATGATTATTTATAAATAATTTCTTCCACGTAATTGGAATTTTGGAATTCATATCTTATCTCAATGTCACTGTACAGACTTATACAGTTTTGTTTTGAAGTACAAACAGACAAACAATGTACCTTGTGGACATCCAGACAGCTATCAATGAAAGCCTTGAGGTCGGTGTAGTAGTCGCTATAGAGACTGGGATCGTCTGAACTGTAACACAATTCAACAATTAATACAGTATTACAATGTAAAATCAACAAATGCCTAGTAATATTCTAATGATCATATTATAATACTTTCTGTCTTTGGCAAAAGTATGATACAAAGGAAAGAAAAGTGACCTTTTGTATGCGACCAGGGTGTTAGTGACCAGGGTATGAGACAAGTAGACAGAATGTACCTTTGTATGTGACCGGGGTGCTAGTGACCAGGGTATGAGACAAGTAGAGAGAATGTACCTTTTGTATGTGACCAGGGTATGAGACAAGGAGACAGAATGTACCTTTTGTATGTGACCAGGGTATGAGACAAGTAGGCAGAATGTACCTTGTATGTGACCAGGGTATGAGACAAGGAGACAGAATGTACCTTTTGTATGTGACCAGGGTATGAGACAAGTAGACAGAATGTACCTTTTGTATTTGACCAGGGCATGAGACAAGTAGACAGAATGTACATTTTGTATGTGACCAGGGTATGAGACAAGAAGAGAGAATGTACCTTTTGTATGTGACAAGGGTATGAGACAAGGAGACAGAATGTCCGTTGTATGTGACCAGGGTATGAGACAAGTAGGCAGAATGTACCTTTTGTATGTGACCAGAGTATGAGACAAGTAGACAGAGTGTACCTTTTGTATGTGACCAGGGTATTAGACAAGGAGACAGAATGTACCTTTTGTATGAGACCAGGGTATGAGACAAGGAGAGAGAACGTACCTTGTATGTGACCAGGGTATGAGACAATGAGACAGAATGTACCTTTTGTATTTGACCAGGGCATGAGACAAGTAGACAGAATGTACCTTGTATGTGACCAGGGCATGAGACAAGTAGACAGAATGTACATTTTGTATGTGACCAGGGTATGAGACAAGTAGACAGAATGTCCCTTGTATGTGACCAGGGTATGAGACAATGAGACAGAATGTACCTTTTGTATTTGACCAGGGTATGAGACAAGTAGACAGAATGTCCCTTGTATGTGACCAGGGTATGAGACAATGAGACAGAATGTACCTTTTGTATTTGACCAGGGCATGAGACAAGTAGACAGAATGTACCTTGTATGTGACCAGGGAATGAGACAAGGAGAGAGAATGTACCTTGTATGTGACCAGGGCATGAGACAAGTAGACAGAATGTACCTTGTATGTGACCAGGGTATGAGACAAGGAGATAGAATGTACCTTGTATGTGACCAGGGTATGAGACAAGGAGACAGAATGTACCTTTTGTATTTGACCAGGGTATGAGACAAGTAGACAGAATGTACCTTGTATGTGACCAGGGTATGAGACAAGGAGACAGAAGGTACCTTGTATGTGACCAGGGGATGAGACAAGGAGACAGAATGAACCTTGTATGTGACCAGGGTATGAGACAAGGAGACAGAATGTACCTTTTGTAAGCAGCCAGAGCATGAGACACATCACTCTCACTCGCTGTAGCAGACTGCGGCGTGACTTCATCATCTTTTATCCCCGACTCACGCTTTAGTAATTCTTCAGTGTCCTGTAAAGCAAAGTTTACATATAATTATCATTATGTTTTGCCCCATTAAAATTCCAAACTGTGAAATCTAAACATTGAAAGACATGAATTTAAATAGAGTCCTCTTGATTGGCAGAGTTATCAAAACACAACATATGTGGAACAGACAGAATTATAATGATGTCCTAAAGACAGGCTAAACATAAGTTAAACAGGACAATCTCATGTATTCTGTGTCGTTTCCTCTCAGTATTGTTGTGCTGTATGAATAAATGAAAAAGATTTTTTTTCTCTTAACACGTTTTTTAGCTTTCCTTTATCATAAGAGGGCTTCTGTATACCATTATACCTCCTTACCCCTAGAAGAGGAATGGAAACATGCCTTGACACATATTGGACGGTGGTTCTTATGGCATTATGTACTTTGTCTATTCAGAAGAAAAAAAACTATTTTCATGGTATGATATATATATAATAGGTCTTTGATGAAGGACTTAATATCAATGTTTTTCTTTTACATAGAAACTGTTTCTCTAATTTCTAAAACCATGAAACAAGTCTGGGTGATTCATCACATACTATGTTTATTGTCTAATGATGAAATTAAGAGAGAGGATTTTTTTCTGACTTGTGTACATGTGTACTAGTAGTATTTCAAGTCATCACCACGTCCAGAGAAACTTCTATAGGAAAACTCCCATTCACAATTTTACTCCAAATATTAAATAGAATATCTCTCTACCACTCCCACCTCCCTGAACAAATATGAATCACACTTTGCATTAATAATCTATTTCAAGCTCTGCCATGCAGAGCAAATCACTAATTCTGTCCCCCC